TGCTCTCCCCCCACCTCCTGTGATTTGCTGATAGGGCTGACCTCTCCCCCCCACCCCCCATGGCTGGCTCCCGGGTCACACTGGTCCTTGGAAGAGCCCGAGGGCACCCTACAGGGGCCACAGGGGCTGCTGTAGGTAGGTGGGGGTCAAGGGTGAGACCTGAGGCTTGGAGCGAAGCCCCAGGGGCCCTCTGGTCGAACCCTTAACCCTTTCAGTGACCCTACCCCAGGCCTGGTCTTGCTGGGTGCAGCTCCCCCACAGAACCCCCACTCCCCAGGTCCCTGACAAGGTGCACTGCCATTCGCTCCTCCCCCTCCCTTTCCAGGACCCAGCTCCTCCGACCTCTCTCCCTCCTTCCAGGACAAACCACCCTCACCACCCAGGCCCCTTCCCCAATCGGCAGTGGCTCCGCCCTACCTGAGCCCTCCACACCCCAGTCCGTGGTCCTGGGTGGGTAAGGTGCCGCCTCGGGCTGTTGATGGCTGATCCCCCGAAGGAGGGGAGGCTGTCTGCTTCCTAGGGGTCTGAGGGCCTCAGAGACCATCACCTTCTCAGAGCTGCCCACCAGGAGTCCTGCGGGAGCCTCCGTTTCGGGTTGGGCTGCTCACAGCAAGGTCAGCAGTTCGAAACCCGGGGCGGCTCCTGTGCAGAAAGGCTGCAGCGGCTGTGGGTCTGGCGGTGGCTGTCTATCGGCAAGTAGGTTCCAGCTCAGAGTGACTCATGGCTGGGCGACTGCCCCCCGGGCTTCCTGCAATCCACAGGGAGGACACCTTGCCGGGTCCTTGGCCCCCGGTGGGTGTGGTAGGTCTGAAACGCTGGCCTTTGGGTTAGTCTTGGGGCAAAACAGAGTGGGCAGCCCGCCCCATCTCCAGGGGTGGAGGGCAGCCCCAGGACTGTACACCTCTTCTGAGTGTCTGCCACCCTGTCCAGGATGCCCCACGGCACAGGTTCTGCTCCACGTGGCTGCCTGGGTGGTGTGCCCACGGAGCTGGGCACGGTCCCTCTGATTTGGGTGTGCAGATAACCTGGCCCCTGCAGGAGGCCCACATCCCAGGCAGGTAGGGGGAGACAGATGTCATCATATGGGGCAGCCCTCCAGAGCCCCATGTTCCTTCTTCCTGTGATCTGAAGCCCTGCCCCCAAACCTGTTTTGGTCCCAGCAATGGCCAGAAGGCAAAGGTCAGAAGGCAAAAGTCAGGAAAGGCATGCTGCCTGTGGGGGTGGGAGTGGAGCAGAGGCAGAGGCACTGAGGGAGGGGAGTCTTCTAAGCTTACTCCAGGCCCCTGTCCACCTGCGCCCCTCCTCCAGCCCCTCACACCTCCCATTCCCCCACCTGCCACACGGTGTTGCACGCAGGGCCCCCCCCAGCTAGAGCCATGGTGGGTTCTGTGAGTGGGGAGTCCCTAGATGGCTGTGGGGATTGTCGGGGTGAAGGACTCCTGAGGGTGGGGTGATCACCCTCTTGTGTCGCCCTCAGGGGGGCTCTTCCCCTCTCTGGGCCTGGGTTTTCTGGACAGAGTTCCAGCACCCTCCACGGACATCGGGGGTCAGGGCGGATGTCAGCAGGCGGGGAGGCAGAATAAACTCAGAGTGTGTGAAGGGGCAGAGAGACGGGAGAGGAGAGGGGACAGATGGGGTGGGGCCCCTCCCCTGGGCTGGGCCACCTCTATTTACATAACTGCATTCATAAGACATAAACAGAAAAGAGCTGGGAATAGAGGCGGCTGGGCCTTCCCATGTCGCGGCTCTCTCCCTGAAGTCCCTAAGGGTCCTCACACTGTGTGGGGTGGGCAGGGGTGGTGGTCTCTGAGAGGTATTCAGACGACATGGTCTTCCCTGCTCTCCCCACCCAACCCACACCTCTGGACTGTGGTCTACTTGGCATTCAGACTGCCAGCAAGAGAGAGCTCCACCCCACCCCCACCCCGCCTTAATTCCGGCCTGGCATTTGATGACCCTTTGTCTGCTGGTACCTCAGTGAGCTCTGGCTCTTGCCCAGGAGAGCAAGACAGAGGGTCCTGCCCTCTTCTCGGGGTGCCTCCATGGTGCTTTGTGTCCAGACTGGGCAGTGTTGGGTGGAACCTCCTCAGGCTGGGCGGGGAACGTGGGCAAAGGAGAGCTGCTGGGGCCGGCACTGAGCAGGGGCCCGCCTCTCCCTCTGGACCTCTCCTGAGCTCACCACGTCCCTTTTTCCCTGGCTCTGCAGAGAGCTTTTCTCATTCGGCACCTCAGCAGCACCCTTCTCCCCCACATCACTCTATGCAGCTGGGCGCCCAGTTCTCCCCGCTGGAGCCTGCTGGGTCTCTCAGATGGTGCGACCACCGCTGCGGGCAGGAGCAAGGCGTGGGCACCAGTGAGGCCCAGGTGTGGTGCTCAGGGGTCCCCTGTGCTCACGTGGACAAAACATACATTGAAGCAGGACCCCCGGCTGGCTGTCCCATCGGAGAGAGACCAATAGCCAGCAGCAGAGAGGGACAGAGCTGGTGGGCCCCAGAGGAGAGCTTTTCAGTCCAACTGTGCGCTGAGAAGACGCCCCAACGCAGCCTGCTAAGAGGAGCAAGCCGCTGGGACACTGGGGCAGCAGCCAGGGAGGGAGGGGGCTTCTTCCTGACTTGTTCACACCCCTGGGAGGGCATGCAGGTGGCCCTGAAAGGAGCCCCCTCCCCCAGTTCCCTCCCTCTGGGTTCCCTGGGCTTGCCTTCACACAGCCCCACCAAGCAGGTGACTTCTAAGGACGGACATTTGCCCTCAGACATTTGTCCTCTCCAAGACCTGGGGGCTGGGAGGCTGGGTTCCAGGAGCTAGCAGGGCCACCTTGTCAGGCTCTCAGGCGGGCTCCTGGCAGCCCCAGGCGGCCCTTGGCTTGCAGCTGCAGCAGAGCTCCACCGTCTGTGGCCTTCTGGATGTCTGTCCCCCCCCCCCAAACCCACAGGCCCCAAAGGTGGCATTTCCCCTTTACTACAAGCGAGTGGGTGCCCAGGGACACGGGCCTTCTGTCAGTCCAGGGGGCCGGCTCTCAAAGGCACTGCCACCTGCAACTGGCTCTCCGGCTCAACACAGCAGTTTAGAGCCTCCAGGTGGCTCCTCTCTGGGCTGCTAACTGCAAGGTCAGCGGTTTGAAACCATCAGCCGCTCCTCAGGAGAGCATTCCGCTCGGGAAGCTCATAGGGACAGTCCTGCAGGTTCACTGCGAGTTGGCACCCACAAGTGTGTTCCGTCTCCCCTCCTCCCAGCTTCCTCTCCTTCCTCCCTGCTTCTCCTGGTGCGCTCCCATGCGGGTGGGGGCACGCCTGCAGCTGCTGCGTCTTTCCCCGAGTGATGATGGGTTTTCCTTGAAAACGGTCACCAGGGTTTTCAAACTCCCGTTGGTGGGTAAGTGCTGCACTGCTCATGGCAAGGTCGGTAGAAAAGTGGAGGTTCCCCGATTCTGACCAGAGGTGCTGTGTTGAAGCACACCCACCCCGTCCTGTAGGCTCCCTGCATGGGGGGGTCTTGCAGCGTTTCTAACCGTCAGGCTGGCGGGGCACAGTGTGCCTCACGGGATGACTCACGGTGAGCTTGGCAGGTGCAGACCGCCGCGGTATGCAGGTGCCCACAGCCTCAAGTGCTGCAAGAGAGGAGGACCACCGACCGCAGCCCTCTGCACGGAAGGCACCCCAGCCTCGAGGAAACAGCCCTCAAAACGTGGACCAGTCAGCAACACCACGTCAGCGGAGAGAACATTGTAGGGGCAAGGGTTCGGTTTACGGTAGATCCACAACCAATGCCCCTGGAAGCAGCAGTCATGAAATCAAATGATGACGCGAACCTGGCACCCAAGACCGCTGTCACGTGTTCCAACGCGAAGATGCCACCCTGCAGCCTCCGACGAGCAGGATCCGAAGCAAGGTGCTTTCTTTCAGTCACCCCACAGACACTCCGAAGCTCCGCAGCGGATGAGGAAGACGCAGGCGAACGGATGCCGAGAACTGCGGTGCTGGTGAACAGAGCGCTAGACCTTGCTCTTCCGGGAACGGCCAGCGGTGTCGGGGGCACAGCCACCGTGCTCTTGGAAGTGAGGATGGGGAGACTTGGGCTCTCGTACTTCGGACACTGACGAGGACACCAGTCCCTGGAGAAGGACCAGTGGGGGCAGCGAAAAAGCGGACGGCCTTCAGTGGGATGGACAGTGGCTGCCACCACGGGCTCAGACCCCGCGGCGGGCCGGACCGAGCAGTTCTGCTCTGTGCACACGGGTTTCCGTGGGTCGGAACTGACTTGTCGGCCCTAACAGCAGCAACGATGTACAGCCCTGTGTCCACCACATCCAGAAGAGGACATTGGGGTCACCCTCACCCAAAGTGACCTTCTGCCCCTGCGGAGCAAGTCCTTCTTCTCAGACTCTGGCCAGCATGGATCAGTGTCCCCAGATTTTCCATCTAGGTGAAACCCTTTCCACTGTGAATTCGGTGCGTGTTCACGGAGCAGACCAGCCTGCGCGCACTCAGTCGTTCATACGCACTTTGCTTCGGCTCATCCCCTTCGATCCCCTCAACCCGTCACCACTCCCTCCCTGTACGTCCCTTCCCCCGCCTTTCCTGGGGGAAGTGAGGAGCAGGCCTTGGTCTGGAGGTCTTGCCAGTGTCTGTCCAGCCAGTCAGCCTGGGCTCCTCCATGGTTCTGCTCCCATTGCATCCAGCACTGTCCAGCACTGTCCAGCGCAGTGGTCGCCGGGCCGATCTCGTGCTTCTGGCCTCAGGCTGGTGGAGACCGAGGTTCCTCCACCAGATCCACAGTCTCCAGGCGTCTCCTGATTTTCTTCCCATGTCTCTCCTCTGGGCAGGGAGAGACCGAGAGCTTGCACCCTGGATAACGGAGCTTTTTAAAAAAAATACTTTTATTGGGAGCTCTTACATCTCTTATCACGATCTACACATTCCTCCAGAGTGCCAGGCACATTGGCACATACACCGCCATCATCGCTTTCAAAGCATTCTCCTCCCACTCCAGCCCCTGCTATCCGCTCCCCGTTTGATCACTGAGCTTCTAAGACCCCGGCTGCTTCTCACCCAAGTTGGAAGTCAGACATCACGTGACGCTGGGTGTCTCCTGCAATTGTGGGTATGACCCTCGGGCCCAGAGACTCATTCTCTCAACGTGTTGGATCATGAGATGCCTTCCTGGCTTTACTCCCCACTGCTCCACCTTCCTGGGTGTCCTGTTTCTGTCCCCTCCCGTTCAGCCCGTGTGTTGGGTCTGTCCAAGCATCTACTTGTAGGTAGATCCCCAAGACTACAAGATGGCATCTTCGATGGCATGTGCCTCTGTTGCTTCTAACTCTTGCAACAGTCTTCCCCTGACTCCCTTCACCCATGCCAACACTTATGGACCCTTGGGGGTATAGTCCTCCCTCCCATCCCGTGTTGCCCTTGGCAACCATCGGAGAGTGTTTCTTTTGGTGTGAAGACTTTGACTTGACTTTGACACTCCTGGTGGACAGCAGACTGTCCACCAGGCCCACCCGTGTCACGAGGTGTTCCCCACGTGCAGCCTCAGTCTTTTACCTTGCTTGGCATTCCACCTGTGTGCATGTGATCCTTGTCGATCCACTCAATGGCTGTGTGTGTTCACCCCCTTTTCTGAGTTTGTTCATCCACTCCTCCCCCTGGGGGCTTTGTCCCCGATTTTCTTGCTTGGGTTTCTTTGGCCTTTGTGAACTGCTGGACCAGAGGTGTGCATCCATCTCCCCGGGTCTGGCTCGCATGTCTCTAGTAAGCATGCCAAATTGGAAGGTTGCTGGGTCTTTTATTAAAAGATCATTTTATTGGGGGCTCTTACAACTCTTATAATAATCTGCACATCAATTGTATCAAGAAGCATCTTTGTACATATGTTGACATCATTCTTTTTTTAATCATTTTATCG